CCTAATTTGGGGTTCCTGTCCTATAATGAACTCCCCTGTGTGGGAAAGCACCATCTGGCCCTCACATTACTGCCCTATGTGGATGGGGCTTGGGAACCAACATAATATGTTCTGGCTGAAGCTTTTGCAATCTGGACCTGGACTTGACCCCTGAATCGAAAATATTCAAAAGAAGAGAACATTTCCTGACTGAGGGACTTGAGGGAAGAGGCCAGCTCCCCCACTGCAGGGTGCCAGCGCAGGGCTGGGTCAGAAAGAAAACTGTGCCCTGAGGCTGTTCTTCTGGGAGGATATAAGAATTAGAAGGAATGGTCTCAGGGGACAAAATCTAGGTCCCTGGCTGCTGCTGGGTTCTAAAAGGAAAAAAAAAAAAAGTGTGTGTGTGTGTGTGTGTGTGTGTGTGTGTGTTTAATTTGTTAGCTTGCCAGTAAAACTTTCAGACATTTCAGAGCTTTTGACTCAACAATCACAATCATTTTGCCACATTTGCTCTTCGCTCAGTTTCTCTCTCATGCTTGTGCTATTACACACACACTCACACTCAGTTTATTTTTGCTCAATCATTTGAAAGTTTTTGCAAATTTGTTGTGAATATCTCATCATAAGTCTCTGTCAAAACTTAGCCAGTCTGTACTGTACATTTAGATTATTTTTCATTTCCTAAATTTTTAAAGTCAGCTCCAAGGAGTGTAACTGTCGGGTCAGATGATTAGAATTACACCCCCCCTCCCCTTTCCCATTCACAGATGGAGAAATTAGGAGGGAGAGAGAATGGGGCATTGAAGGCAGAGGGAAGAGAAAGTCTGATGGCCTTTCAATTCAAAGACTAAACGATCTCTTGCTCCCCCCAGTAGAAACACAGCCCAATGAATTTCACAGACCTTAACTAATATTACTCTTTTCTTCTGTCTGTGGGGGCCAGATGTGGTTATTTCTGACATTCCCTGTGACCAGTATTTTTGCTTTTCTGGCCAACTGGTATCTAAACACACTTCTATTTGGAGGGAATTCTGAAGAAGCTCAAGTGTAAGCAAATAGCCCCTTTCCCGGAAAACTTGATGCTAGAATCTCAGCATAGGAACTTCCAACCAGATGTTTCTACTTAACACCGATTCTGATGTGAGTGACAGAGAGAACCTAGACTCTTTCTAGAGCTGGTAAGAGCAGCAGCAACAACAGCAGCATAGGATAGCCAGTGGAGGCCATGCCAGTGACATGTGTTAGATACTAATCAGAGTCTTCCTTTGTATTGATTTGGTCACTATTTCTAGCTGCCTAATTCCCCATGACTCCTGTCCATGAGTCAAACTTCATTCCTCAGTTTTTCCCATCAGTTTCATGAGTCATCCAATGTCATTTCAATATATTCCTTCTCTTTCTAACTGACAGAATTGGTCCCCATTGTTTCAGAAGCAGGAAATCTGGTTAGTACGTACTTCTTTTGGGAAGAAGAGTTGTCTTTCCTATGGAGATGCAAAGATGAAGGAGATAGGTGACTCTCCGTTCATTGTTCCTACGTCAGGTGCCCAATTCTAGTTCAGAAATATCCACTATCCTGACTTTGTGATAATCATTTCATTGCTTTGATGTATACACTTACCCTCTGTATGTATTCCTAGCCATAGTCAGGGGGATGAGGATCATATAGTTCAAAATATGGCCACTGTCCATCAGCAGAGCTTTGGCTCAGCAACTGCCCTAAAAAGAGGTACCACTGATGCCCTAACATCTTTATTGTAAGCAAATTAACTACAATAGCTTCTTAGGAGATTATCTTGATGCAAACCAACCTATTTCCTACTATCAGGATTCCTCTTTCTTTTTAAGTTATATATTATTTATGTATATTAACATACAAAGTATATCTAACATATAAGTATATGCAAAGGGGCCCAAAACACACATAAACATCATGAGTTACTATAAAGGGAAAACTACCACCCAAGTAAAGAAATAAAGCATTTCCATTACTTCCAAATCCCGACCCTTTCTCCTCTCCTGAAAGCTTTTATATGTTCCCTCTTAATCATAAACTCCTCATTCCCCACTATCTAGTATCTACCATCCTGACTTATTGTCATTTCTTTGCTTTTCTTTATTGTTTTTCCACCTTGTACATATCCCTAAACAATATAATTTCATTTAGCCTGATTTTGAACTTTAGATGAATGAATCATACAGTGTATATTCTTTTGTGCCTTCTTTCATTCAGTATTATATTTATGAGATTCATCCACTTGTTAAGTACACCTACATTTTGTTCTTTTGCATTGCCATAAAATATCGCATTGTAAGAATATACCATGATTTATTTGTTTATTCTACTGTGGATAGCTTTTGTGTTGTATTCAGTGTGAGCTATAATGTACAACATTGCTTTGAAATTCTTGTATATGTATCCTAGGGGGTCTTTAAGGGCATCTATATGGCAGTAGAAATAGTCAAGGAATTTGGCTTCCCTATATAATGCCAAACTCATTTCCAAAGCGAATGTACCAACTGACAACTGGCAGTCTTCAGGAGCTCCTGTACTACATACTCACCAACAACTGGTATAATAAAAATGGCCAATTTTACCCGTTCTGGAAGATGGCTAGCAGTATATCACTGTGATTATAATATTCACTTCCCTGATTAGTTATGAAGCTGAACATATTTGCATATTTCACTGGTCATTTATATTTTCTCTTTGATAAATTCCCCGTTCAAGTCTTTTGCCCAGTTTTTCAACATGATTAACCCTTACTGATTTAGTTTTCCTAAGTTGTAGAGGTCAGCCCTTTGTTAATCATGTGTGTGACAAATAGTTTCTTCCATCTGTACCTTGATTTTTTTTGTTTTATGTCTTAGGGGTTAGGGGGATGCTGGTAGATATGAACTGATTTGTATCTGGAAAAGATCACTGTGACTGTACTGTAGAGAATAGATCAGAATTGGGCCTAAATGACTTCAAGAAGACACTGAGTTTCAATTAAACTGATTTTTAACTGAGAGCTTTAGGCATTCCTGCCTCCTCTTTCCCCATTAATTAGGTTATTTTAACAAAAATCAATTAAATGAGTGAAAGAAGCTTTTAGATGAGTTATTATTTGCTCTGAAAAATGGCTCTCACTTCTTTATATCTTTTGCAAATGTATCCCACTTTCATAGACTGCAATTTGAGTACACCAACTTGCTCTTTAAAGAAGTTAGGAAATAAGACCACAGGATCTCTGAAGGATGAGACCTGGATCATTTAGTTCTTATACCTCAATCTAAACATCTCGTGGCACTATATGCCATGAGAATCGCCACACTGATGATTCTCAAATTTATATCTCTAGTCCACACCTCTTCACTAAACCTCAGAGTCTTAAATATAACTGTCTACCTAACCTCTCCACTTAGATGTCTACCCAAGACATGTCTACTTAAGTTAAAAACAAAATTACTGATTTTTGCTTTCAGAGTTGCTTCTACAACTCAGTTCTTCCAAATTGCTCACATTTTTTACTCCACATGTAATGTAGCCACAAATCTTAAGAGCTTTATTTCTAAAATAGCTCCAGAATTTAATTTTGGTTTTCCTCTCCTCAATTGCTACCACTCTGGCCCAGACCACTATCACCATGGTCTAGAGTATTATAACAACTTCCTAATTGATATCACTTTTCACCAAACAATACATATTTACTTTGTCTGACTCCCTCTATATAATCTCTGGGACACTAAGGACTTGTGTATTTCATTTAGTGCCATGAGCCCCCATGAAACCTCACAGATGCTCCTTAAGTACTTGCTGGAATGAACAAAATATTTTGCTTTACCACATACCCAGTAATTCATGTCAGGAGATCTTTGGGTATGTGAAAATTGACAGTAGATGAACTTTAACAAAATTTAAAACTCTAAAACAAAGTAGTAAATGGAAAGTTGGGTCAACGGTTAGAAGCAGTTTCTCCAAGTCCTTCCATCTTCCCTTACAGACAGGTTTCCTGCCTAAACTGACAGTCCTCTGTTTTGGCCACTCATGGTGTAAAGTTCTACCTCCATTCTGTACCTCATCCTTAGCCCATTACTCAGTATTCCTCCTGCCCCAGCAACAAATGAGCCCACCAGGCTTCGGGCCACATGACCCTAGGCCACTCAATGACTTTCTTAATCACATTCTCTAATGTATACCAGTAACTTAAAATCAAATATTAGAGAAGAAACCTTCAGAGACTGAAATTTCAACCTGGCTACCTGTTAAGGAGCCAGGCAGAAGGGCTATTCCCTGCCGTCCTTCGGGGTTGATGGGAAGTGAATTCCACCGCTATTGCCCTGCTCCAAATCGATCATGACCCAATCGCATTACGGGGGGAAAGATAGAGCCTTTAGGAAAAGTCAAGATGAGAGGGCCTCTCTGGTGGCCCTGTTACGCTGTCTGCAAGCCTCTGCAGTAGAGGTTCGATTCCCGCTGGCCTGGGAGATGCCCACATGGCACAGCAGACCTCTCCTGTCTCGCCCGCTGCTCCCCTCAGCAGTGTATTTCAGTGGATCTGCCTGTTCTGCTCCCCCTCTGTCTCTGGTGAATCCTCTCACCCCCCCCCACCCCCGTATCTCTGGCCTGTACCCCAGCTCTTGTATGCATAAATAAATAAATGTTAAAAAAAAAAAGTCAAGATGAGAACGGAGCACGAAAGCCCTTTCTTAACTCAACATGAAGGCGGAGGGTTTACAGGGGAACGTAAGAAACAACCGGCCTAGGAAGGGTAGCAAAGGCGCTACTGACCCAATCCAAGATGGCGCTGGAGGTTACTAGCGGAAGCGCAGAGGCCATGATAAGCCCGAATACCCTGATTCAACATGGCGGTAGCGACCGAGGCGACCCGAGGGCGGGGAGTACCAGGAGCGCCTTTGCCCTCCTCCAAAATGGCTGCCGCCGTGGGCGCTGTCCCTGGCTCCGCCCCGAGGCCTCGACCCCGCCTCTCCCTCGTCCCTCCCTCCGCCCCCTCGCGGAGCAGATTTCCAGCGGCGGAGCTCGCGCAGCGAGAGCGGGCTCGTGGCACTTGACATGGCGGCAGCGGCGGCGACTGCAGCGACGAAAGGGAATGGGGGTGGCGGGGCCCGGGCCGGGGCTGGCGAGGCCGGTGGCTCGCGGAGGAGGAAGGGCCCGGGACCTCTCGCCACCGCGTACCTGGTCATCTACAATGTGGTGATGACGGCGGGGTGAGACTGGGTTTCGGGGAGGCGGGGAGCGAGGCTGGTGGGGAAGCCGGCTCTGCGGCCGGCGGGGCGGCCGAGCGGGCGGGTGGGGTGCTCAGTCCCCATGGCCGGTGTCCGGGGCCACGCTCCTGGGTGCTGAGGGCAGCCCGGTGCCTGCCTGGGGCGCCCGTCTGGGAGGGGGGCCGAGCAAGTTCCCAGGCAGGCACCGCGTGCCACTCAAACACGTCCCGAGTCTAGGGAGATGCGGGCTCTAGGGGAGTCGGGGGAAGGTTGCCCAAGTGCTTGTAGTAGGGGTGTTGCAGAAATAAATTTTAGCCTTTTATTTTAAAAGTATTTTAATTTAAAATAAATTAAATAAATAAAATAAATAAATTTTAGCAAGAGAAGAGCAAGCCGTTCTTCAGGAATCGTGAGGTCAGGAGAAGCTTTATTACTCATGCATGAGGTCTCAGACCTGGGTAGCCCCGTAAGGTCTGAGCCCCCGTCTAGAGACAAAGGGTTTCTTATACATAACCATCTTATATTGATAACATCGGTCAGTAAGCACAAAAGTTTGTGACAAAAGACAGTATTCAAGGATGCCCTGGGAGATCCATCAGCTTGGCTGGCTGTCCGGCCTTGTTAAAATGTAACCTCCTTTAGGTAATCTCACCTAGAAAGGCTTTAGAGAAGCAAAACTTGTTGTTTACATTTACTTTGCATTATTTATTGCACCAGACATATGACTCTTTTAGGAGGGAACAGGAAAGATTGCATTTGCTTAGCAGTTCCCTTTCAGGGGGGCCTTGAGAGGACTGAAGGTGCAGGTCTGGGGGGGTGGTGTGCGGGGGATCCTGCAGCACGGAGGAGCGCCCAGGCAGCTGGTGGAGAATGGCTAGCTGTTTCCCCCAAGGGGAGTGGAAGGAGCTGAGGCTGCGGACTGACCATTTATTTAAGCGGCTGTTTTCAAAATCCAGGCAGAGCTTTAATCTGAAATGTAAAGGAAAAGCGTTCTAAGTTTTTGAACGTGACATGAACAGAGCTGTCCTTTAAATGAGTATCGACTTTTTAGGATGGATTGGGGTGAAGACACTGGGAGATGGAAAGGCAGTAACTGGGAAGGACTTTAGACCTCGAAATGAATCTTATCTCCACTCTTACTCCCTCATTTCAGTCCTTCCCTTGTCACAGCGGTTCTGGCACACTGCCTGTGCGACCTTGGATAAATCATTTTATTTCTCTTCCTCTCCTCTTTTTCATCTGTGAACCTAATGAGTTAGGTGACTAGGTTTCTACATACAACGCTATGATTTTTTTGATCCCATGGTTTTGATGAGGATTATAGAATCAGTACATTTGTTATGCATTTAAAATATTAATTTGTACAAACTTTTCCTAATATTTCATTATGAAAAACTTCAAACATGGAGAAAAATTGAAAGAACTATAATAAAATATCCATTTTTTTTATTTTTAAAATAGGTAATACATTGGCAAGGTGCAAAATTTAAAATACACACAAAGGCATCCAGCGAAAATCTTCCCTCACCGTTCCTTTCCACGAGGCAGCTAACTCTGTGTACCCTTCCGATGCTGATACAACCATATATATTCTCCCCATATCATACTCCCCCCAGCATAAATGCTAATGTCATATTACATTTCAGAACCCTGCTTTTTTTCACAAAAATTTCTCTTGGGCACATCATAGGCCTTATTGCTAGTATCAGAAATAGCCAGTGCTGAAACCTAGAATCAGAGAAGTTGTGACTTGCTGGAGTTCATAGAACTTGTCAGTAAGTGATCGGGATCTAGAACATATTTCTCTTGACTCACAACTAGTGAAGAAATATTACCCATGCAGGTTTTCTTTATCACACAAATGATCACAGAGTGATTTTTAAAAGAACAAATTAGGAGAGAGAAAGAGAGAAAGATAATTTATATGTAAAATTCTTGTCTTAGTAAGGGCATTGATGGGGACATTGGCCTGGAGAAGGATTTTAAGGTACATTGGGAAAGAAGAAAAGTCTATTCCTAGTTGATGAACATGGAGAATGAGGCTGAGGATAAGGAGTGGTGTCTTAACACAAGAAGAAAAATTGGAATTGTGAGAGTACAGTAAAATTTTTCCTAGATTGCTAATATATCTTTAAGAAATATTTTTCTTCTTTTACAAACTCTTGATATTCCTGTATAATAGTTTCTAGAAATATCATAGGTCACACAGAACAGAAATGTATATAGTTCACAACCATATGCCTAAGTGCTTTCCTGTTTTGTGTTTTGTATTGATTTGGCTTTCTTTTCTGAATTGATTTTGGGAAGTTCTGCTGAAAACCCACTGATTCTTTTTTTAACCTTTTATTCTTAATGTCATTTGCACTTTTAAAAGGATAGATTTTTAAGGTATGCGTACAGTCCCATGAAGTAACTTATAAAAGTAGTTTTAATAATCTCTCTACCCTGTTATTATGAAAGACCCTTTAACTTCATAGGCCATTTAAAATTTTCCTTATACATATTTTTTCCTCTTAGACTTTCTGGCACCTAATTTAACTGTCCAAGGACTAATTTAGCTTGTTCCCTTCCTAGTTTTTAACAGGTATGGCTGCCAAAAAGCAAAGCTCCAGATGGGTAAGGTGCCACAGTGCCTTTGCACAGTACTCTTGGTAGCGTGCTATTGTGGTACAACATTTCTGTGCATTACAGCTTGGTATCTGAGAGCTATAGTGAATAAATCCAAGATGCTGATTCTTGAGGTCACCTTTAGCATTATCTGTTGTTGCCACATCTTATTACCTTAAATCCTTTTTATCTTTTCTTGTTTTTCCCCTGATTGCTTTCTTTTCTTTTTTTTCTTAGGTGGCTTGTTATAGCAGTTGGTCTGGTCAGAGCATACCTGGCTAAGGGTAGCTATCATAGCCTTTACTATTCAATCGAAAAGCCTTTGAAATTTTTCCAAACTGGAGCCTTATTGGAGGTAGGTCCTGATATTTGTTGTTGTTAATGATTTCTATTATTATAAAATAAAAAATGCTACTGAATTATCCTGGAGTACCCATATCTTTGTTGGATTTGTTTTAAATTTTGAAACCTTGCCTCATAACTTGCCTATGATGTTGCCTATCCTTGTATGTAATGTTGAGACCTGAACTATCTTTTCCACATTCTTGATACAGTAAAATCCCACTTATCTTGTATTACCTGGAATATATTTTACATCCAACTTCTATTGGAAATCAAGTGAAACAAGTTTACATTAGGATTTAAAAAATTATAGGGATATCCTAGGGAAGCGTTAGCAAACTCAAATACTTTCATTAGACAGGCATGTAATGGAAGTAGTGAAGTTGATGGGTATAGGGTGTCAGTGTGATCAAAAAAAAGAAAACGTAAAGCCTGTTAAAAAGGCATACATGTTCCCAATTTTTTTTTTAAACCAAGGTTTATTAATATATTGATAATGTATATCCAGTCCTGTCTCCTGGGGTAAGTATATGTTAAGATTTTGAATTGCAAGTGACAGAAACCCAATTCAAACAATTATAAGCAAAAAATAAATAAATAAATAAAAGCAACTTATTGGCTTCTATAACTGACAAGTATTCAGAAATCACAAAATCAAAGAAACCAGCTCAAGAATGATAGCCAAGGGTGTGACATTGGCGAACACTCTTTGCATCTCTAGTCTGTCTCTTTCTCTTTGAATGTCGGCCTTAGGCCCTCCTACTACAGATTGCCTTTTCTGAGTGGTGGGAAACAGGAAGGGGGTTGAATTTTCTCAGCATCTGTGTCATAGTTTTAGGGAAGGATTTTGGTTGGCCTTACGTAGATATACTATTCTTACTAGTTATGTGAGATATACTTGATTAGTCAGGTCTGTGACACATGCCCATCCTTTTGGCAAGGGACTATAGAATTTGTTGATAGAAAATGGGAGTGGGGACATGAAAAAGCTTCAGACATATAAAACTAGTAGCTGCCATAGTTTGTTATGGTGAAAAACCTTAAAGTTGCAGGGAAGAACAGGTTTTCAGTCTTATTTTACTTACCCCCACCCTCCACCCCCAGGTTAAGCCCATCATGACATTTACAAGGATATTTTTTTAATATGTCATTTACCTTCATGAAATGAGATGTGCTACCTCAACCTTTCACCATTACTTTTGAATGCAGAAAATTTATATTTTTGTTCTTTTTTTCCTCAGCAGAAAGTTTTCAAGCCATTTGTATTTACACCTTTTATGTAGATAGTATGCTTTCAGCTGGAGTCTGAGTACTCTTATTTTAGGTATGCTGGTTTTACCAGCTTATTCTGTGGATTTAGACAGGTCATTTATCTCTTAGGTACCTCTTTTTCTCATTTGTAAAATAATTAGATTAATATAGATTTTCAACACCCTACCTATGCTTGTATTTTGGGTCTGATGAAACTGAATCTTGAATTTTTTTAGAAGGGGGCAGTAGCAAATAAGTACTAGTGCTTATTACTCAATTTTGGCTAGCACAGTTCTCACAAGCTACAGAGAAACAAGAATAAGTAGGAGCAAGACCTTCAGAAACTGCCCCAGTGTTTAATATAGTAGGAAATATACTCAATTGGAACACATAAATAAATTAACATCTGTAAGACTTTGTAATATTAGGGGTATATTTAAAATTTTAAGTATATCTGAGGGAAGACAGTGGCATTAAATGGTATGATACAAAATCCACTCAGAGACCAGATCTTAGACTTTGGGGGATTAGCCTGTTTATCCCCATTGAATTTTTAATAGGGATTTAAGAAAATATTTTGGAGTTTTGGCTTTATTTCTGTTATCTCCTCTAAGAACCAATTAGGTGACAAATCCTGGATTTGATTTTAGGGAAAAGGCGCTGCAAAATGAATTGATGAATGCCAGGAATATGCTGGGAATTAGCTCTGCAGATGTCAGTGATGGTAGCAGTAGACCAACCCCTCAGCCTGAAGCAATACAGTAGACTGACTAAAACCGCATTTCATAAATTATCAGTTAAGGCCTGTTTTCTTGCCTACTTGACCTACATTGTATAATAATTACATGTGCACAGTATTACGGTATTATTTAATTACATATAAGTTATCTTTATGGGAATTATTAGTGCTTGACACTATATCCTGTTTGCAAGAGGAGAAAAATGAATCTACTGAGTAAGGTCAGCTATTATTTATATTTCTGTATACTAAACACTATTCTTTAGTTAAAGTTCTATGGGATTTTGCTTAAAAAGAAAATAAATTACTTGTTCTCAAAAAAATTTCAAGTCGTCTTCTGAAAACATAACACTTGGCTTTTTTTTTCCTTTTTCAAGATTTATTTATGCATACAAGAATTGGGGTGTAGGCCAGAGGTGTGGGGAGTGAGAGGATTCACCAGAGACAGAGTGGGGAGCAGAACAGGCAGATCTACTAAAATATGCTGCTGAGGGGAGCAGTGGGCAAGACAGGAGAGGTCTGCTGTGCCATGTCGGTTAGTCCCTCGACGGGGATCGAACTCATGTTGTAGTGGCTGGCAATAGCTTGATAGCGCTGAGACTTTAACCCATGCGCCACCAGGAAGACCCAAACACTTTGCTTTTTAAAAGATTTTAAAAACATTTACCAAGCAAATGCATATATATTATACTACTACATGTAGTAGTGTAATACAAAAAACCAGCTCATTTCTGAGGAAATTATATAATTTTTTGCAAAATGGGTGTAAAAGTATATGTAGTTTATAATACAGTCTGTAGCTTTTTTATAAAATAGACACACATCATAAATGGAGTATTTTTTATGGATAATTTTCCAAATTAGTCCACAGGCAGTAATTTTAAAAAGTTTAAGTCACTGAAATGGGTGCTGTAGAAGTTGAATTTTTGCTAATACAAAGCTAAAATATTATTGAGTAGATGATTGTATTGGGACTCAACTGGAGATTACAGAAACCTCCTTAACCAACTTAAACAGTACAGGGGTTATAATATGAATGTATAGGGGATCTCAAGGAAGCAGTGGACACAGGTGCAGCTGAGCCCTTGTGATGCCCTAGAACCAAGGACTAGAGCACCACAGGGAAAGCAGGGGTTCTTGCTCCAGTTCTTATCTCTGCTATTCACTCTTCTTGCATACTAGTTTCCTTGTTTTTTTACGTCTATATGGCAGATAATAATAATAGCCCAAAGCTCCTGAAATAGTAGCTCTTCAAGAGCTAATTGGAAACAGAATCTTACTCCCAATTCCACAATCTTGGTGAAGGGCCTCATTTGCCAGCTTGAATCAGGTGCTCACTCCTGAACCAATCACCAGGAGATAGGAACAAAGCCACATCAGCCATTAGGAAATTGGTGGGAAAGGAGAATTTTAGAAAAGGGGGTGTTAAGTGAAAAGCACAAGTACTCAGACACAATATGATGAAGATGCTAATATGTGAGATGATTTTATAAATTGACTGAAAGTAAAATACAGAAAGTTGTATGATCCGAGAGAACAGTATGTGCATATAGTGTATTTTGGGTTGAATTTTGAATAATCCTGATTACTAATTAACATAGGGAGCTAATAAAGCTAACAAAAGAGTATATTTTTTAATTTTTAAAATTAACTGAGGTAACATTGGGGTATTCCCTTTAGGTATTACCACCATAGATTGTCCACCCCAACTCACTTATACTCTACCAACACAGCAAAGGTATATTTTAAAGATGGCATTCATGAATAAAGATAATGTGGTATTGCCATACCATAAAACTGATGAATTACTGCTACATGCTACAACATTGGTGAAGCTTGAAAATATGATATGTGAAAGAGGCGAGACATAAAAAGTCACATATTGTATCATCCCATTTAGGAGGAATATCTAGGACAGGCAAATCCATAGAGATAGAAAGTAAATATGTGGTTGCCAGGGACTTGGGGGAGTAGGGTGTAGAAAGGGGTGTGACCGCTATGGATACAACATTTCTTTTTAAGGTGATGAAAATATTCCTGAATTAGATACATAGATAATGGTTGCTCAACCTTGTGACCATGTTAAAAACTACCAAACTGTATACTTTACATGTGTAAATTTTGTGGTATGTGAATTATATCTCAATTTCCTTAAATCCTATTCATCTATAATGAGCTGTTGATACATTTTCTTTTTATTTCATTCTTTTTGGGATCCATGATATTCATTAATAAGAACAAACTATCTTTTCAGCTTTGTTAGAGTTGAGTTAAGGGTTAGAAATTCATAGATTGAATTGCTACATCATGGCGTTTTAAAATTATTTCTGAGAGAATTTGGATTTTGAAATGTTTTGTTAACATAAGACAAATTATATCATTGATCTTTTAGATACTTACGATTAGATAATGAGGGTTCCAGTGGGTGAAGGACTACTCTGCAGAGACCTTAATTGTTGATATTGACACAGACCCTCAATATATACGCCATTTTACATATTATTTACCTACACTGTCCATCTGGAAATGCTTTATGGACCACAGGAACTCCCTTTTCCTTCCATTCTGTTCCAGATCCTTCTTGCTTGGAACCTCCTTGTATGCAAAAAGATGGAAAAAGCAACCTAGTCTCATTTCTGATCTTTTCTTAGAGTTCTTTTGGGCTGGGTCTGAAATAACAGAACTGGTCTGGAGAAAATATGAAAAACAGAAGATGGCTTTGGTTGCATCTTCTAACCCCACCACCATTTCCAAAGCCCATCTCTGTATTCTGATCTAACTACATGCCTTCCTCACAGCTCTTCTCAGATCCTTGAAGGAAATATTCAGGAAACTGATTTGAGAGATTTGAGAGATTTCTCTAAAATACAGGAAACAGCAAAATCTGAAGAGTTTATGGTATCCTTAAGAAGGAAAGAGCTCCTAAGTTGTCTCCCTGCCTGCTTTTCTCTTTTGCCTCAAACACCAGATGATTTTTACCCCCACAGAGATACTAGATGGTTTGGTTCTGTGATATTAGTCAT